TAGCCTCCTACTTATTTAAGTATAATCAGAAGTATGTATATAGTATTTCAAAATATTCTAGTTTGTTCTGACACTTTGTGTAATGACCGAAAAAATTGAAATTCTACTCTTTGTTATATGTCTTTTATTGAAGATATCCAGATACTTTATTCAAAAAAAACTATTTACTCTAAGACATCCATAAAAGTGTACAGAATTAGAAAGCAGATAAGAATGTTCTTCATTGTAGAGGGGATGACTGTTCATTGTTGGTTTCATTTTTCACCTGGAAACAAATAATACTCATTTTTAAACAAAAGTTAACGCTTTTTGTTTAAAAATTATTTTTCTCTTTAATAAATGACATTTTACATCACGAATTGCTCCATCAAATGATTACTGTACATGGTATTTTTTAATTAACCCTTTACTCACTCACATTGATCTATAGTAGTAGATAGCATTGCTGTTTTACAGCATTTTTATTAGCAATTATATTGAGTATTCATTATCACACGATTAAATTTATTTTTTCTGAATTATTGTTCATTGTAAAAAGGTACAAAATAGTGATGTTGTGGTTGAATGCATAAATGTAGTTCATATTTAGAACATGTCCATTGCGTTTTCAACTGGCATTTTTCATATTTACACCGTAATCTTGATTGTACAAATTTTGGTTAATGTTCATTACCATCATATCGTGATATTTGGCGTATTTAAATATATTTCATTTTCATATCGTTCGCGACCAATGGGTCATGGGTGACCCATTCACTTGTAAACACTTTTCAGAAAATTCGTACTTCATAAAAAAGTCCGTTCTATTTTGCTTGCAAAGGCAAACACTCTATTAAATATTAATCGACAATAACATGTTTCTGAAACATACTTTCACAAAAAATAAAAACCAAACCAAAAAATAGTTTTCATTTTGTGATTTAAATGTCTTCACCAAAAAGTGATGAAAAGGAAAATCTTTTTTTCAATCGATAACTTATGGAAATATCTTGCTCACAAAAGCAATCCATTTTTTGTCATCTGCTTCATTGTCTTTTTATAACAAGTCTACAAATGGGTCATGAGTGCCCCCTTGCTGGGTAAAGGGTTAATTAACGCTTTTTTATGTTACAATTATTTCCATTTTCTTCGACTATTTTAGCTATTTCTTGACCATTTGAACAATAATATACGAAAGACAATGCATGGATCAGTGATTGTGATGAACTTGAATATCATTGTTTCCAAAAGTTAGGCACATTAGCGGTTGAATGATAATGGTTCATGGCTGTGTCACATATGTTTTCTCTTAACTATTTGATCATTTTCATCATTCTCGTCTATTTCGTTCCTGTTCCTACCAGTAAGATTACATCCATGATATACACTACTGCAATCAAAATAATTTGATTTTTTCCAAACGAAATTTGTTTAATCCGACCCATCATCTTCATCAGACTCATCAACAAGATCATTTCAAGAAGCTTGGGATGAACGAAGATATAATTTTCGATATTCTTCAAGGCATGTTGTCAAAAACATCAAAACGTTTACATTTATCATATAGCGATCAGGCATCTGATAATAAATAAATATCAGTAGTAATCAGAAAGAATAATGATTTCATAACTACATCACTTCGACTCTTCAACCATCTTTGAACGAAATGTAGGATCAATATGTAGAACGAACATACCATTTTTTCCTTGAAATAGACTTACATTAAATAATTCATTTTGCTTGTTTGTTTGATTTATTACTCTTTTAACTCATAGTTTTCGCCTTATTCTAATTTAACTCATTAATATTGCAAAAAAGAAGTATTTTTGTCTGGTTAAACAATAATAAAAATCAGAAAATGAAGTGAAGCATAGAAATTAGAAAGACAAATAGTGTCTATCAAATACAATATAATTAAAAATATTCCACTTTTCTTTCACAATTTGTGTATTTAACAGATAAAATAATGAATGAAAAAAAAATAATCAAAATTTCTTGAATTTTTTGAACAATAATATATTAGAATAATTGGATGTTAATTTAGAAAACAAGATAAAAATAGATCGGTGCTTTAAGCAACATATTTAATAATATCACTGAGACTGTTCAACCATAATAAGATAAATTAGAAATTCTGATTATATGATTGTCAAATGAAGTTAAATATTTTTACTACATAAGACTAACACACTTTTACTTTTACTTTTTACTTTTCTCGATTCTTTTATATTTATTATTTTGGATTTTTTACTCAAAATATTAGCCGTAGATTAATGTACGTAAAGTGGAAATTCCTACAGCCCACACTCACAGTAGGAATGTTCGATACTTTTTAAGATTTCGAAAATGATAGAACAAAAATCAATATCCAGAATTTCTACAATTATTCGAACGATACAAATAGAATGATCAATCATCGTTCTAGTGTGGGAATTCTTAGAGAATTTCTGAAATTCTCCAAAACTTTTGATATTTTTCATGGTTTGCTGGTGTTTTCCTATATCATGAAAATGTATGAGACATTTATGTATTTTTCTCATGTGTTATGTAAAAGAAATTCCTTGGACTTCTCTAATTTTCTTATCTGTACGCAATAATTGGGATAATTTACGACAATTCTAGTGTATCTTCTAGCTGACTAATAACTTTGAAAATGAAATTATCTCATTTTATCTTTGAAATTCAATGAAAAATGTTATCGCAAATGTACAGATATTTGCTCAGGCGTTTTTATCGAGCTCATAAGTCATTCGATGGATGCCAGGGAAAGCAATATTAATAGGAAACGGCGTTTTAGCTTGGTTATATGGGTCCGTAGCAACGCGTGTTTTACAACTATTTTCCATTGTTTCATGGAATTGACGATTGGAAGCTGGTCTTTCCATTATTTTTACTATTGCTATAAACAGAAAAATTCTTACTTACATCATCATGTAAATAAATTGTATTAATTATATCCTTCAATTGAAAATTCTAATGTGAATTCAAGTCATCTTTTGCATATATTGTTTCGTTAATGTGAAATGACAACAAGATCAAGAGACAAAAAGTTTAAAAGTAAACAGCTGCTTCTAGAATTCAAACTCAGCAATAATGTGACCATAGGAGAGCACAACGTGCATTTCTCTAATATCAGACGGACATCAGAATTGTGTTCTTTATGAATCTGGTAACAATAATTTTTCATTAAATAAAGCATATATCGAAGTGCATTTTCTCCTCTTTGAATCTGCAAAAAAAATGGACTTTCGACTTTTGACCAAATGTCCGCCTAGATGCACACTTTGAAGAGAGTAATGAACCATTATTAAATATAAAAATTCTTTTGAGTGCTCAGTCAGAAAACTTTTGCCTACAAACTCTGAACAAAGTTTGATCTGAAAAATATGACATGAAAGTAAAATATATTCAGACTGATGTAACATTTGTTTATTCTTATGTATGTGATAGTCGAAAAAAAACAATTCTCTTTTACTCTATTATGAATATTCTAAAATCTAGTTGCGCTACTAAAATTCAATAAAAATTTCTCTTTTTTAAAGGTGCCAGAAATTCTTGATCATATAGAGATAAATATCTGCATAACGTATACTTTTAATCATTAGTAGACAACGAAATTAGTTTCAAATAATGTTTTTCTGAGTTGTCCACAGTTTTACAGAATTTGTACTTATTGAAATCAAGCAAAATGTTTAGAATACGGCAATTAAATTGTGAAATTATAATCACTAACTACATCATGCTTAATAATATAGGACTTTATTTAGATATCACAATACAAAATTGCCTTTAAAAAGTGCAAGATCATTATAAAGTAGATATTTTTCTGTATTGAATTTTTCTTCTTATTGCGTGATCAACAATGATTATTGATCGAAGAAAACAGATCATAACATAATCGAGAAGAACAGCAAAAAGTACAAAAGCATACAATAAATTACACACTGTACAATGTATATGAGTTAGTTTAATATTGTTATGATAGAACAAACTATTACAAAATATACTATTTATGAGTATAGAAAAATATTACACATACAAAAATACATTTCGAAAGACACTATAGTCAAAAAATAAGAACGTCAAAATTTTCTTCTCAATCACCGGGCAAATCGAAATTTTTTGAGTGAAAGAATAATAAGATGCAAAATACTGTTCGTCAATGATATTAAAACGAGAGATAAAACAAAGTTCAAAATTAGACTAAAAACTTTACTTTATCTATAATCACGAGTCAAAATGCAACTAAAATATTTATCACAGATACTGACAGAAATAATGAAAAATTTGACAAAAAATAAATAAATATACTATATGAGATAAAAGTATCATAACAATAAAACAAAAATAAGAGAATTATGGATTTGGTATGAATAATGAAAATAACATATGGTGATTAGTTTTAACGAATATCAGAAAATATGAGTATCATATACATGAACACATTAGTTATACTTGTATCGTACGTAGTTAAAGAATATCTAAACAAAAAACAAAATCATTTTACAAGTATATTGTATTTTTTTCGATTATATGGATCTGTTACATATACATGTATACATGTATATATATATATACGAGAATCGCTTGAAGTGAATAAAAAAAATGAGTAATTTTTAGCTAGTTAGTAAATTTCGACTGATCAGGTGTCAGTGAAATTTGAGTGTTCTAACATGTAAAACATAAATCATACGAAAGAAAACTTCCACCATTAACAAAGTTAGTAAAAGTCGGTGTTTCAAGAAAAACCCAAAAAGTGAAGTGATCATTACTGTGTTATTCACGCATCTACCAACTACCTTGTCATTTTTTCGATTAGACTGTGTATTCCTTCTTAACAATCCTAACTTTTCAAATGTAGGACAGAAAATCGAAAGATGCATGCAATTAGACAAATTAAGTGACATTCATCGATAATTTAAACTAGAAAATATATCACATAAATAAGTGCACACGAACTGTTGTTGTTGTTGCTGTTGTTTTACATGCGTAATAGATTCATGAGGTATATACATATCAATTTAAAGTTTTGTAAATTCTAAATTGAGCGTTTGATAATATTTATATGTAAAAAGTTATTACACGAAATACTTACCAACAAGACTGAATTTTTTCCGATTAATTAGTTTTGAAAATATATTCCGTTTCAGTGGTTTCTCAATCTTATTCTGTTCATCTTGTATTATACGAGCCGTTAAATTTGAAATCTTTGATACTGGACCATCAACTGCCTGTGATTCGTTTAAGAAGTCTTTCTCTACGTCTTGATATTTGGCAAAACTAACAAATACCTAAAAAACAAATAATAACAAAATAAAATAAGGCGATAAAAAAATATCTATCTGTTAACATACATCATCAAGAGTGACTTGTGTAACCGTATAATCTTCAATTGCAGGTGATAATTCAACACGTGCTCGTTCCAGTACACTAAACATTTCATATAACTTAATGGTTGCTGTTACACGAAAATGAATCACTTTATTATGTTTTTCTTTTAATGTTGCTTCTGGCAAATGTTCAATTATGTATTGTGTTAATGTATCTATATCAGCAACAGCATTTGTACGTAGAATAATCGTATAACCATCACCAAATCTAGATAGATATAAAGAACAGAACGTATTAGATTGTCACTATTCCTATAATAGAAGAAACATACTTTGCTTTCAAATGTTGAACACTTCCAAAACATTTAAATTCACCTGCTACCATAATACTGAGTCTATTACAAAGAACTTCACATTCTTCCATGCTGTAACAGTAACATATTAATTTATATAACGAAAAGACTAATGTGATAAATATGTACCTGTGAGAGGTAATAATCACTGATTTATGTTCTTTTCGAGTAAGCGTCAAGATACAGTCCCATAAAAATCGTTTTGCTCGAACATCCATACCTTAAAAGGAGAGTAATTTTCAATTCAATATTATTAAAAATAATGCTATTGGATTACCTGTTGTAGGTTCGTCCATAAAAATTACTGACGGATTTCCTATTAAAGCAATGGCTGTGCTTAATTTTCTTTTATTTCCTCCAGAATATTGTCGCACAGGTCGATCGGCCCACAACGTTAAACCAAGTCTTTTTAAAAGACAACCGGATATCTAAATAGACAGACGTTTGTATCTAGTATATTTAGAGAACAACATCAATATTATAAAATTAATTTGATACATACGTAAGGAATATTTTGTTGCTTGATACCTCTTAATCTTGCATAAAAATATAAATGTTCACGTGCCGTTAGTAAATTGTCCAAAGCATCAAACTGTGGGCAATAGCTAAAACGATAAAGCATTTGATCAGTGTTCATCTCATAAATAGTTGAATTGAACATACCCAAGATTTCGATGAACACCATCAATATCTTTTAAGACACTGAAAAAACAATTATTTATATAAAGTTAGTTTAATAAATTGGAATTCCAAGTATGCTTACCTGTGCTCCATGACATACGCATTTCCCGATGTCAGTGGAATTTCTCCTGTTAACATTTTAAATGTAGTTGATTTTCCCGAACCGTTTATACCTAAATGTACGAAAGTGAGTTGAACGTCAAACATTTCGTGTGCTACAAAAGTAACGTATTATTATACCTAATAAACCGAAACATTCGCCTTGTTTCACGCCTGCGCATATGTTGTTTACAGCTGTAAATTTTTTCCCAAATTGCCAACCATAAACCTGAAATAAAGCATAAATGTTTCAATTGTTATCCTCTAATTATCTTACTGAACAACTTACTTTAATCAAATCAGTCATTCTCAATACATCATGACTTGTATTGTTTGGATCATTGTAGAGACGTTGTCTTTCAGCTGCAACATCATCGTCTTCCTCGATCGACACAATCTTCGGTGGTTTACGGCGAATACTAATAAAAAAGTAATATAAAAGTAGAAATGCATTATTCGATCTATAAAAACAACAGTAATGACATACCGATCAGCGATAAAAAAACGATATTGAATAAGTAAAGCAAAAATAAAGAAAATAATGCCTTCAATAGCTAATGCCATCAAATTTCTACCAACTTGATTAAATTCAAATGGAGATTTTTTCTGATAATATGGGTTGTATTTGGATATAATTTCATCGGCGGCGTGAAGCTTTGACATATCGAACAAACCTCTTCCTAAACAGTAATGTGGAAATATCAGAAATACTTTCATCAAAACAACATTTATCTTCTGTAAATCTGGTTCATCTGAAATATTTTCCAATGTAAACGTTGATATAGTTGTTATAAGACCAAGAAATATATTTATACATGATATAAGAACAAATCCAGTAGATGGAGTTTTAAATAAATAGGAGAATGGATACATCAGTGGGATTGTGGCAAATCCGTATAAAAATAATAATAGAATGAGACATAATAAATTTTCTTTATGTACATAGGCTTGAACATTAAATGCCAAAAATATGATTACACAAAATACCAGGGAAACTGTGAAATTAACAATATCCCAAGCATAGTTTGATACCCAATAAATAATTCCCTTGACGCCGCTAACAAACTGTAAATGTTTACTAGTTGTTGCCCTTTCATCAATCAAAAATACAAGAAATGAGGCTGGAATGAAGGCAAGAGCAAATATAACGCAAATAGCTGTAAATAATTCTAAATAGGCACGACTTTGTAGTTCTAAATCAATTTCTATTTGAGTTTGTGGTAATGGATGTTGAATGGCGGTTATACCATAGTCTTTAACGTCTGATGACGGTAGTAAACTACGAAGTAAGGCGTTATTAAAAATGTTTAAATAAGCAAGTGATGATGGCCAACCCATATTGTCGTACCAAACCGCTACTTGTGGTTGATGGATACGAAATAGCTCAGCAATTTTTTCTTCATTCACAACAATATTATTCATGTTAGCCAACTGATTAATAAGACTAGTATTTATCGTATTTATACCGTTTTCTTCTAAAGCTTTTGATAGAAACTCTATACCTCCAAAACGTTTCATTACATATTCATCATTGTATTGAGTTTTAATTATCCAATCAGTAATATTATAGTCTGTCAAGTGTTTGACTATATCTTTTGTTTCTATTTGATCGTAACTTGGTGGTGGTCCACTTGCACCAACTGGACACGTTTGCATTTTTTTATCACAATCACACTCAGGAGATATTTTTGTTTGATTATAATTAACAGCATTCAAGGCAGCCATTATTTGTGAACTGGGTTGAACATATGTGTAACCAACGGCTGATGCATTACATGGATATTTTTGCCTATCTAACATTGTATCATTCATACATCTTGTTCCAATACTAGGTGATTTATAAAAAGTTTGTAACGTTGACTGCGAAACGTTTGACGCATCCTTGGCAAGTGACTGAAAAAAATAATTGGGTGTATACCAGTACCATGGATGTAATATTAACGGTGGAGAATCTTGTTGATTTGGTTTCAATGTGGCAACCAACATGGCAAGTAAAACAAAGATAATTGGTAATATTAATTCAGCGATAAAGCCTTTGGTGTTACGTTTGGTACGATGAAATCGTTTGATAATTAATGCTAAAAACTGTATTCCAATTAAACTTAGTCCAGTATGACGATCCTTAGCATAGACACCCCATTCGTCTAAAATATAAATATCAAATTATAGGTAAATAATAATAATGAATATTTATACGGATAGAAAATATGATAACATCGGAAAAAATAAGTAGATGATTCTCTAGTGCGTTGAGTTTGCATAGATTAACATCTCTCTAGCAAAACGTTTAACCGATTGATGATAACTTTTTCTAAAAATTTATGTATAAGATTTAACATACCACTTAGACATGTGTCAGATACTATCTCTTGCTCGTTGTTTTCTTCTGAAACTAAAACATTACTTGATAAAGTTTTACAGCCAAAACATTTCTTAATATATAAAGCTAATTTTTTCCAAACACTTGATCTTTCATAATCCTCAACACATTTTGCTTCATCTGCTACATTTAGAAACACTTGTTCTAGATTGCTATTCGATAGACCATAGTTTTTTATTCGAAACAATTCTTTTCTTTTATCAAGTTGTTTTAACATTTCTGGAAAAAATCTTGTATGTGCTTCATCGTCCAAAATGACATAGGTTATTTGATCACCATGTTCCTCTTTGACAGAAATATCCGATATAAACGATTTAAGAAAATCAGTTAATTTCTCAAATTGTCCACTCTTATTATTGCGACTAATTGTTCGTAGCTCAATGTTAGAACTATTAACTAATTTTGAAGCATTATCATCGATTGTTGAATTATTGTTCATAACGTTTTCCTACAAATAAAAATCATGATTATTAAAGGCTCATTTTCTTTTAATAATATTTACATCACTGTGTGTTTTCAATTCTTCTTCATCAGAAACAGATGTAAATTCAACAATTAAATTGTAACCTTCGGCATATTTTCGTTTCAAAAACATACTTGTACCAACACAACGTAGTTCACCCGAAGATATAATGGCAATTCGATCGCCTAATAAGTCTGCTTCATCCATGAAATGTGTCGATATAATTATTGTACGTCCTTGTTTATATTTCAATAGTAAATCCCAAATACTTCGACGTGCAAATGGGTCGACTCCAGCCTAAGTATAACAAAACTGATAAGATTTTACATACAAAAGTCGAATAAAAATTATTTACCGTTGGTTCATCCAAAATGACCGTTTTACTATTGGCACAAAATGCTATAGCAATACTCAATTTACGTTTCATGCCGCCAGATAGTTCTGTTGAATAATTATCTCGTTTATTTGTTAACATCAAATCATCTAACATACGTTCTATTTCAATATCAATTGTCTCGTCTGCTGCTCCTTTTAATCGTGCAAAAAACTCTAAATGTTCTCTAACTGTTAATAGATCAAATAAAACGTTATGTTGTGGTGTAAAACCAATATTTTGACGTATTTTCTTGATATCCGTTAAAATATCCCATCCATCGATATAAGCAGTCCCCGATGTTGGAGGAATTAATCCCGTTAAAATTGACCTAATAAAAATTAATATATACATAGAATCCTACTAAAATATTTATCTACTTACCATGTTGTTGATTTACCAGCACCATTTCTGCCCAAGAACGAAGTTATTTGATTCTGATAAAATTTAACAGATAGATTTTTTAATGCCAATTTATTGTTATAATATTTACATAAGTTTATAATTTCAACTCCTACTTCGCCATCGGAATATGATTCTATTGATGCTGAACGTTGTTTTACACGATTATCTAACTCGTTTGTATTCTCAGATTGATTTTTTTCTAAATTTATTAAATACTCTGTTCGTTTACGTATTTTATTAACATCGTAACCAAACCAGTATGTTTTTGTAAATGGAAAATACCATGGTTTTGGAATGCCAAATTCGCCAGGAAAAACGTTTTCAATATACCATGTAAAGAACATGTATATAATAGAATCAATTAACATCATAATCATACAATATAAAAATGAAAAGTTGTCAGCAGGTCGTGTACCTTTATTAATATTATCCCACTGAATACCTTTTGCACGTTCTTCCCATTTTGCAATGTAATCACAACCAATACCAAATGCTACAGTCGATGATAAACAAGAAATAATTTTATGCCATCTTAATGTTACATCAGAATAATTTAGTAATACTGTATATGGTAAGTAAAGAAGAAAGAATAGAATACCGGCACCACATGCTGCTAAATTTGCTCTATTAAAAAACACGCTCATCAGAAAACATTGAGTAATTGTAGCAAATGTAAAACATAAGAAAAAGATTAATAATATTAGAAAATTTGAGAATCTTGTTATGTTGCCGTATTTTATTATAAGTACAAGAAATATTGCTGTTATCATCATAATGAATGAACACCAGATAAACCACGAGAACCAATGAACAGTATCGTATAATCCCATTATTTTCATTATTTCTTTCAAACGTTTCTCTTTTTCATGGACAATATCTTTGACATTCATTGATACTGTGAATATCCATCCGAGTACCATAAATAAGGGTAACATTCGTGACACAGCATTGATAAATTTATCATTGACATAGCATGGATAAGGATATTGTTGTGTTTTAACACCATAACCTAAACTTGTATTTGTTTGAATACTAATAAAAGCACGTTCAAGACTATTCATTAAATAAATAAAACCAAATGAAAAATATTTTGTTGAGAGTGGTGCATCTGTTCGAGGTTTAAATGAAAAATATCTATTTTGTTGACGAAATGTTGAATCAACCGAATCAAGTGGCATACGAATTTTATATTTAATATGTTTTGGTAATTCATCATCTACAATATCATTAAGAAATTCGATACCGGCCAAAAAGCTATATGTAAATGAGAGATTTAGTGCTTTTGTAACAAGATCAGCACTGCTTTCAACAGGTTGAAATCTATTACGTTCGGTACACGAAAGAAATTCTTGAAATACTGTAAATATTGCTGCCATATATTGATACGATTGAATTTGTGAACAATTTATATTTCCAAATAATGGTAATCTTGAACATATTCTATTTAGAACTGTTAATGATGGATAAATGGCTTTTTGAATATTTTTCATTAGTATAATAAATTCGTCCAATGATTCAAATATTGCATTCATTCTCTTAATTATTTGATTGTATTGTGGATTATTTGGATAATACAATATTTTACCATACAATAATGGTCTAATTAATCTTATTAGAAAACGAATTTCTGATATTGAATTTAATATTTGGTCCATATATACGCAACGACATGTACGATTAATAATTTGAATTTGTTGAATATCTCCACTGCCATATATAAAACTTTCCTCACATAATTCAGTATCATTGAAATACATCAAATTTGATGCGAAATCAATCCAGTCAATATCACTGGATGTTGTATTTGTTGAATTTGATGTTTCTGCTTTCGAACTAACTATTAACATCTTACTATATTTGGTTAAATCCGATTCCAACAAATGTTGTAGACTAGGAGACGCTAAAGCCTTTACGCTTGATCGTTTTATGTTGTCCTTCGTTTTAGAACGTTTTAATCGTTTAACACTTGTTTCATTTATTTCCTGGCTTTCGTCTAAAACACTATTGGTTGGTGGAGATACTTGAAATTGTCGACTAAGATCTTCTCTTCCACCACAGATACCAGCAAAACTAATAAAAAAATCAACATCATACAAACTGTACAATATGGTCTAACCAAGTCTTGTACTAGTAGCCCTCATCTCTTATATCTTACCTAAAACTAATATTATTTTGATTTTCAGATGGAAATAGTGTCATATTAAGCGAATTTAGTAGAACAGTTAAATTTTGCCAAACAGCGTGCATCTAAATATAAAAATTAACGTAAGTAATTCATTAAAATCACCATTGAACGAGCTTCAAAAGTATAAGTCGCTTTTTGTCCATTTTGCTTTGTCATTGAGAAAATTCATATTTTCTAGATCAGGAGCAAAAGAATCAGAATTCTAACCGTAATTCTCAATTTTCTTCATCAGAACTCATTGTCTTATGCAGTAAGATATCATACTCGAAATCAGTGTCACACACTGAATCAAATAATATACTTTTTTATGCTATCCGACTTTTTTGAATCTTTTTAGATTTTCACGTCGAAAAACTACTGAGATTTTCGTCAAAAAATGAAAATCAACGAAAATTTCGAAATATATAGCGATCGACTCAGTTTTGGACAGTAATTCCGAATATGAGATCTACGAAGAATTACGGTTATAATTCCGATTTTTTCGCTCGTGATATAGAAAAAATGAATTTTATCAACAACGAAAAGTCAGAAGCACAGAAAACAAGTGTTTTTGAAAACTAAAGGGTTTTTCGACATGAAAATAAGTTTTTCAAACACTAAAAGACATATTTTCCTCTCCAGATCGACGAGCTCGTCATGCCAAAAAAGAAACGGAAAAAAAATTTTGCTATTGTTTTTACATTATTGGCATCCGTCATAATAAATATTTTGTTAATAAATGATTTCTACGTACTCCATAAACATTTTGAATTAGAATAGGTGTTGAAATATTGCTCAATTTTTCCTAAAATAATAAACAAATATGAAAAAATATTATTCTCTCTTGTGTTCCATTTTATGTTTACCTTCATATAAATACCATCTAAGTCGGTTTTTAAAGTAATTAAAAAATTAAATAAATCACTATCAGATAAACTGCATAATTCATTTTTTGCAGTATCTCTAGCTATTTGTTGTGCTGGTTTCAACTGGAATGTTTTATTAAATTGATTATTCGTACAAAACGCATTTTTAACATCTGTTTCATTCTGATATCTCACCTACAACGAAAAGAAGAAAAATTTTTATAGTGCAATAAAATTTGATTACCAAAACTTTTCATTTACAGGAGGAATTGGTAATGAAAATTGTAATAAAATTTCGATCATGACTTCTGAATTTGATTTTGTTTGTGTACTATTATCTTTAATGAGCCACTTTTGATGTAAATTTGTTAATGATATTGGATTTGTGAATATTGTATTTAGTGTTTGATTTGATATTGATTTTGAATAGTTGAATGATTGTGTTGATAAATTAACAGAAATATAACCATCCCAATAGGTGTTTAGTACGTCAACATTTGAACTTGTATTACGTATAAGTTGATAAAGTTGAAATATTATCGGACCTGTATCTTTGTTTTCAAGTAGAAGTGATAATGCTTCAGATGCATTCGATATCATCTCGATAAAGCTAAAAAACAAAAAACAAAATTCTTTTTTATTATTTTCAATATTAGTCAATCAAACACTCTTATTACCCAGATATTTGGGTATCATCTGTTGACAATGGGTAATTCCAACATGTATTATTTAAACGACATAGATATGTTTGTAATGCTGGTAAAAAACCGGATGAACCCAATTGTTTCGGATCATTGTAGCCTAGATAGAGAAAAAAATTCAAGTATATTCGAGTAAAACACTCGATTAAAACATATACATCTAGTTACTACTTACAAGCAGGATAATAAACTGTTAATCCACGACTACGAACCCACATTAAAATCAAAAACAAAAATAATGGCCATATTAATTCGAATAATACACGTGTCTAACATTAAAAAAAAAGAAGTATTTATAAACATTTTATCGAGCTATATATACAGTGAATGATAAAAGTGGTTATCTACTTTTGTTTGTGATATTTTCCCTCAACTATAATATCTAGAAAAGATCTGAAAAAGTTTAGTCTATTATAAGATGTGTGTATGAGAATTGTTTTAAAGTTGAACGATTTATTTTTAAAATAAATAATTTAAGTAGGAAAGAAAGAAAGATCGCTTTTATCATTCTCTGTACATGACATTTTTACCCATTTTCGTCGTCGGATTGTGAAATTTTTCCATAGGAGTAAACGAAGTTGACGACATACGACCATTTATTTAGCTTCTAAATTAAATAAATTTAAACGATCCTGTTAGATAGTAAACATCTTTCATATACGTTATTTAAATCAGAAAACAAAATAGATATTTTCAGATTAACTTTAAAACTAACAAAAGTTCAAAGTCACTATGTCAAAGAAATGAAAATTAATTTTTATGTACAAAACTTAACGAATAAAAAATAAAAGAAATTAGAAACTTAACGAATAAAAAATAAAAGAAATTAGAAACTTACCCATGAAAACTAACTTTTCTCAGAATTTTCAACTACCATCCCGAAGAAATAAAAACTTGAATAAAACACTGTCTAATCTCATAAGGTGAAAAGTTAAACTTCAACTGAAATATTTTATAAATGTTCAGATTTAAACAGTATCTCGAATTAGTAGTCGACTAATTACGATACTGAAAAAAACCTTGAAGTTTTGAAATAGAAATGTTTTTTATTTTGATCTGATGCTTTTTTTTCAGAACTCAACAACATTTTATTGTCACTTTTTTGTTTTATGCACTGAAAAGCCAATGATTTAAAAAGAACTGTCACTGAATGAGTCATGTTTTTATCAAACATTTGTTGTGTGAATGAATAAAGGCATTTCATTTTTTTTTTTTGATCAAATCAAATCGATTGCTTAATACTAAAGTTATATATTTTTTCTTTATTAAAACATATCAGGTGTCTTAAATAAGAAAACGCGAAAATATTTGCTTTCTATAGTTAGTTGATTTTACATACACTAAATAAATATTTATCAAACAAAAAGATACTAAACGTGGGATAGTTCCTACTTGTAAGAAACAAAATAAACAAATAAATAAACGTGATCCAAATGAAGAAGAGTTTGTATTAAAAATAGAGAAAAATATCTGTCGATTTCTTCTTAAAAACATAATATAAAAATTATAATGAAAAAAGTATGTTACTAGTCTTGAACAAAAAATTTTTATGTTTTTCCTTTTTAATCAACTAAAAGAAAAAAAGTTTTCTGATGCGTAACAGTAGACATGGATAATAACCATAAGTCAAATAAAAAGGGTGTATACTGCACATTTTTCTTTTCAAAAAGTTATCTATCTCAATTAGTTATTAATCGTACAAGGAAAACTTTGACGATATAGACGGACACATCATAACTGATATGATCGTTTATATTATGAGCAAAATATGGAACTATTACTTGTAGTGAATAAATACTTTATTCCCATATAATGACATTTATTCAAACATCAATGTTTCGGCTTGATAAAGCCTTTTTCAAAAATAGAAAGAGTGAAACTAGAAATAATATTAACATATGTAATTTTACACATGCAGATGTTATTTCTAGTTTCATTCTTTCTATTTTTGAAAAAGGCTTTACCAAGCCGAAACATTGATGTTTGAATAAATGTCATTATATGGGAATAAAGTATTTATTCACTACAAGTTTGCACATGCTGTAAGGAGCAGCAGATATGTTCGATATTACTGTATTGTCAAACGTCATTTTGATAAGTAACCATCTTCTTTTGCTTATCATTACTATGTGACTGATTAGATTAAACTATTTAATAAAGAAAAATCCAAAAAATCATGAATTTATACTCATAATTAATTTGGACAACAAAAAATGTATGACAGTTTTCTATAGTTCAGTTAATATATGAAAAAGATGAATTTATTTACTGTTTAGAGTAAAATGTGAACGTCGTTATAAGTAAGTAGGTAAGTAAATTACACCATGTCTTGCTTTTCTTTCTACGAAAAGAAAAAAGAAGTATAGTCTGTTTTTCCTCTATCATGCTTACACGTTTTTTAATCCATCCTTCTGTGTCTTCACTTCTCTTTCCTACACGTACAAGGCAAATTGTGAGAGAGTGATTACATGTTTTTAATAATATTAATAGGGTATAGCTTTACCTACGACGATATTCAAATGCTATTCTATCATTTTAGTTTCTTCACATAAAAGAAAAAACAAAATAAGAATTTAATCACTTCAATGCTCGGAAAACAGTCATTTTTTTGAGCTTATCAATACTAGCTCAACAGTATTATTAAATACATTCTAATCTTAACAGCAAAATCTGTCATCTTAGACAAATTGATTATTTACCTTTCTAAACTAATTGATGTTTATTTATGAAAATTTTCAATTATTTAATAATTTAATTTTCAATTATATAATTTATTTCGTTCTGGAAATTGTGTTGTTGTTTTTTTGTTATAAATTGTTTCATGTACATACACACAGCCTTCATCGTTTATAGCTAATTATTACTAGCAGATGTGTTTGTTGTATATGAAATTGAAAATGGCGAACTGAAACAGAATATAAAAAATGTAACTGATGTGTGAAAAATATTTGTTCTTTTGACGTCAATAGGGAAAGAAAATACCTTATGCATAAAAACCTGAGGTATTAATCAAATAAATTAATATTACTGCTTCTACTCCATAAAGCTGTTTTTGTCCGATAGGAATCACACTACAATGATTTGGACAAGGTTAAAAAATAATTGGATATACATTTTTGTGTACTATGACCGGAGTCCTGCAGGTTGCCACTTTTTGACAACCTATAACCTAACCTATACAAAATTTCACAACCTAGTTCTAACCTAACCTAGCCTGTGATTTTTTGTTTCCAACCCACAGAACGTTTCACGTATATATGACAAAAGTCATACATGTCATTGACTTTTTTGCAGTTCAAAGAATTAGAAAAAAATCAGAAAAAAATTTCGCTTGCACAAAAGTAGAAAGAAATCAAAAAAAATTAAAACATAACCTACAATCTAACCTAATCTATAACTTTTGTAACCTAATTCTAACCTAAACTATAGGTTAGATTAGGTTTAACCTGCAGGGCTCTGACTATGACACAAGAAATTGATATAAATGAATATCATACAGACAACATACAAATTGGCACAATAGTCTTTTTTGTTTATAAAGCGAGACCCTTTAATAAACGTTTAAGCTTAAAGTGAAAAAACATTCAAGTTTGAAATAAAGAAATTCAACTTACTATTTTGATGTAAAATACTCTGCTTAGGAGCTATTATTCTTACCTCATAATCTGAGTAATTCAATGGTCCATTTCAGATTTTTTTTGTCCATAGGAGACTTTTGTAAAGGCGACATTTTGATGAATATGGGCGAAAACTGCAGATCAAAAAAGTTTAAGTTTGATCCTTTATTTAAATTTTACGAAAAGTTTCGCGCTTAGACCAAATTAGTCAATTTTCAACGCGTGTATTGCGCTAACATCACATGATCAAGACGAAAAATGTTCACCGGAAGTACTTCAAAGTGTCTACTATAAAATGACGCAATCGCGAGTCCTATGTGTAGTTTTAGTTTTTCTGGTACAGGTTGTACTAAGAGCAAAAATCAGTTTTTTAGCAAAGTCTTGAGGTCTGTTCTATTTAAACAAAGTAAATGTTAGAACTTTTAATTCTATTTATAGGCTTAGCTATAGGTTGTTCATAAAAACATTTTTAGGGCTATAGACGGTTTTGAACCTGAGATCTTCGGCTTCAAAATTCATATTTTGTACAAAATGAGCCATTTTGTCGCAGTTTTCTCCTTGCGGATGGAATCAAGTTTATGCCCCTATGATATATATGGAGTACATCATGGGTATCATAATGGAATTTATGGAATAGTCTATAACGGTTAAGAGGATCAACTTTTAGCGTTATGTTTCAATAAAATACGATGAAATGTATTCCCGTTTTAACACGTTCACAAGAGAACCCAAAACAGAAATCCAAAATTAAATGAATCATATATGATACATGGACAGTGAACGTATTAAACATTTTTCTCAAAATACACAAAAAGTGCCTTAAGATTAGTTTTCATCGTAAGTTTTGATAAAAGATATGGTGATGATAAGTGAATTGGGGTTGTGTTATAATATCGAAGATATTCCAACTGGTCGAAGGTGAAAAGGGTTGTAGAAGATAATAAATTCATCAAGTCATTCTTTAGAAGTTTGGTCTCTAGAAACCCATGATGAATCTGAGAATCAAGAGATTCTGAACCAGCAGTTTGTAGCACTAATAAAGCTACAACTTCAGGTGCAAAACTTTGATTTTTTGGACTTTTCGTAAAATTTAAATACTGGGTCAAACTTAAACTTTTTTGATCTGCGGTTTTCGCCCACGTTCATCAAAATGTTGCCTTTACAAAACTCTCCTATGGACAAAAATAATCTGAAATGGTCGACTGAACCGTGCTCTATAGAAATAGGTCGCGAAGTAAAAATATGTTTTTTATAGAAATTATAAAATACAAGAAAGAACTACGTCAACTAACGAGGAGAGGTCCTCACGTGCCACGTTGATTTTCGAATGCGATATATACCAGTTTGTACAGCTTGATGTGCTGATTACGATGGCATAAAGTATTTTCCCCTATAGGCCTTATTTGAAGCGCCAGATCGATTTTACATTTCGAAGGATTAATTTGACATACGTATTGGGATACTTGGATTCCAAGAATATATTATAGTTTCAAGCGATCAGGGTTTTGCTGTCGGATGCGTCGCATTCGACTATACATTCTTACATGTTAAACTAAAATAGAGGGCGTTTACTTTGCATATTTCAATATCACTAATGTTGTGAGTAGAAATACTTCGAGTAAAATATTTCAGTACTATATACTTACAATATTAGTGATAGTGAAGTATGCACTTCCTATTTTAGTTTGGCATGTGAGAACGTATAGTCGAATGCGACGCATCCGATGGCAGAAGCTTGATCGTTTGAAACTATAATATCCTTGAAATTCAAGTCTCCCAATACGTATGTCAGCTTGATCCTTCGAAATGTAAAATCGATCTGGCGCTTCAAATAAGGCCTATGGGGGAAAATACTTTATACCATGATAATCAGCGCATCAAGGTCTACAAACTGGTATATATCGCATTTGAAAATCAATTTGACACGTGGGGACCTTCCGTCGTAAGTCATTTTGAAAATAAATGCGTGACGTAAACGATAATATATGCACGAAAGCGAACAAAATTTAGTCGGATTTTGCACAACGCGGTCGAAAGAAGAAGAAGATGAATCTAAAACGAGTTAAAAAGAAGAAAATGACTGACGCGGCTTTGTTAGTAGAAACGTGAGAAATGAAAAAACGCTTTAGTCCAACTTATATCATTTGATAGATCTTTATTTACATAATCTATTCGGTGGGTCTAGCGAGCAGTAGGAAATGGCTCAATACCAGGAATGTAGTACAAAAATGTTCATACAAAATAGGTTTCACTATAAGTGAAAGCATTAGTGATAAGAGAAATTTCGAGACAAGAATAATTGAGCAGACTGTGGAAAAAAAGACATGAACAACTGGCATCATCATATCTCCTACACGCTGATGATGTCATGGCGAAAGTAACACGTGACTTTCACAGACGTATCATTTTCAACCGTGAAACTATATCATCACTCTTCATTGCCTTCAAATTTGTAACAAACCATTCTTAATGTATTAAAAAAAGGTAATAAAAAAACTATCTTTCTTTTATACATTAACATACCCTTTCTCCGGTCATAAATATATCTTTGAATGGCTTTTAGATTCTTCTACAGGTCGATTGCCTTCTGGATTGTAGCGTGATAGTGATAGTGGTAGCATGATCAATCTGCAGAAGTATCGGCTTTTGCGACTGGCATAATCAAAGTTTTTGTGAAACTCCTGTAGTGATAAAAATACTTGCTTTTATTGCTAAGAAGTACTTTGTGAACGTCCTTGGCAAGTAAAGGCTTTTTATTATCCTAAACCGAAAAAAGCGTATTTGAAAACCAAAAGGGTTTTTCTGTTTGACCAAAAAACTAAAAAGGGTTCTTTAGAAAGAGTCCAAGGATTTTTTAACTTTGGTAAAAACCAGTTCTAAACGCATTTGGTTTAGGGACACATCGGTTTGGGTTTTTCAAGTTGCGAAGGATTTTCCAGTTTGAGCAAAAAATCAAAAGGGTTTTTAAAAAGAGTTAATCGAACAGTTTACATTTCGAACTCCAACAAACAATTTATTTTAACGTCGGTGAACTCTTATGTAGTGATGTAGCGATATAAAGAAAGAGTGAAAATTTATTTTATTGTTTTATCTCTTGTTTTAATTTGTTAAACTGTATCTTACTCTTTTGTTTAGAGTCTCTTTTTGTCTTAAATGTCATTTTTACTTACTTACTACTTATAAACACTTTTTTTTTGACTGAAAATAGGGTTAAAATCAGCAGTTGAGTGGATAATACAGGTTAGGACGGCTCGCCACTATCTATTTACATACCTATGCTTAAGAAAACGTGTTTTCTTTGTGGACTTCAGACATAAAATAATATAAGTTCACAAAGCGAATATTAATCGACAATAGAGAAACACTCGAATAATATTACCTTGAAAACCATCCAAGTGCTTGTAATTCTACTTGACAAGTGCTTGTGACAAGCTTGATTCAAGTGAAAAATCAAATACTTACAAGTAAATTTACTTCTGGAAAAAAGACAAGTACTGGCTTCATTACGCAAGCGGAGTACTTGGGCACAAGTACGTTCTCTAGGGATTAACTCTTCACTTTAACACTAGAACGCCCGGAAATTTTCATGACCTAGAACGCCTAAAGCGGTCATTTTGACCGTTACTGTTTTTTTTAAAATTTTATACTTAAAAATGGTTCTGAATTCAAAAATGAATTAAAAATTCTGCAAAAAATAATTTTTGTGGGACAGATTAAAAGTTATGACATAATTTAAATAAATTGTATGCAGTTTGTTTTATTAAGGATAAAAATCACAAAACGGTCAAAATGACCGCTACGGGCGTTCTAGTGTTCACTTAAGTTTGTCTTCGTGAAACGTGAGCCTAATGTAAGCTAAGAATCGACTTGCCATTCCTAAGGTTAAGTTAAGCTAGAGGAAACGCTGGGCGAAGGTCGCTACAATCAGCGTAAAATCTCACATAATTATGCTGACAAAGCTCCTCTGCATAATTTTCGCTTATTTTAACCGATTCCTGATACTCTTTTATTTTCTTTCATGAAATAAATGATTAGCCCAAAACAGATCCAATCAACTCTTTAGCTGTAAACATATTGTATCGCATCTACAGATATAATCAATAGTCAGTCATAGCAACACCAATCCGCTAAATTTATCTTAACGGATAATCTCAACTCAAGCAGTTTTCCAGATGTTTCAAATCTAAATAACGTTCTGTCATGGGCTGTCATTCTATGATACTCCCCCCCCCCTCAACAAAGATTTCAAGGGCTACATTTTTAAATTTGAGAGAATGTGCCTGGAGAAGAATGAATTGGAGATGAAAAGCTACAGGTTCCAGCCAAAAAGGGGCAGGAAACATGAGAGACTACTCAAAAGAATGAACGATGGATAACAAGCTGTATGAAAACATACAGAGCGTTTCGATGCGACAAATGTATTCGTTTTATAGGATTCGAAGAGGTACAAAATGCCAATTTGCCTCAAGCCTCTAGGGGAGATATAAACTCCCGCGTCTTGTTCTTATTAAAAAGAAATAAAACATTTCATTTCAGTTTTACTTAGGCTAGCTGATTCTTCAGTGATTTTTCTTTAGATTATTTTTGATCGTAATCTCAGGATGGGAGAGCCTGGCAAAGAGTTTGGTGGGACTCCTGGCAATATTGGCTTGATGATCTTCTCTCATGTATTGCCGTTTTATTTTTGTTTATCGTTAAAATACTCATCGGGTGGTATTTATTGGCCATCGTCATTTGCCGATTTCTTTATCGATTTTAAAAATTGCTGTACTCCGACTATTACGGCATTTTTAGTTTATATAGGATTTTTTCTTATTCAACTATTTTTTGCTGCTTTTCTTCCCGGATTAAAAGTTAAAGGATTGCCTGTTCCAACAGAAAACAACTTTCAATATTCATACAATTGCAATGCACTATATAGTTGGTATTTATCGCTAATTTTAGCAGCCGTCGTTCATATAACTGGTATATTTCCATTAACATATTTAGCAAACAATTTTGGGTCGATTCTTTGTTGTTCAGTTATATTCAGTGATATTTTATCGGTTATCATTCATTTTTATGCTTTAAAAACAAATCAAACATGTCGAATGTCAAATGAGTTTATTTACGATTTTTTTATGGGTGTTTGGTTAAATCCATCCATTTGGATTGCGAATAGACGTGTGGACTTAAAAATGTTTGCTGAAGTACGTTTATCGTGGTTGTTATTATTCTTTCTCATTATGTCAGCTGCAGTGAAACAGTACGAATTATACGGTTATATTAGTTTACCAATGATATTTCTGTTAACAGCCCAATTTTTATACGTGAACGCCATTATGAAAGGAGAAGAGTGTATTGTTACCACCTGGGATATTTTTTACGAAAAATGGGGTTGGATGTTGATTTATTGGAATCTAGCTGGTGTGCCGTTTGTTTATGCATTTCATGCTTATTACATATTAGAAAATAGTAAAGAAAATCAACAGAATTCATCAGTTCCATTCATATTATTGTTGTTTATTATTCTATTTGGCGCTTACTATATTTGGGATAGTGCACAAAGTCAAAAAAATCGCTTTCGTGCAAAACAGCGTGGCATATATGTTGCAAGAAATACATTTCCACAACTTCCATATGGAACATTGGATAATCCAAAATATTTGAAAACTCAAGCAGGAGACTCGTTATTGATTGGTGAGTAGTTTTTGTCTGAATATAAGAATTTCAACTTTAGTGATCCAGAACCGGAATGAAGATGCTAAAGTACACTAGTTTTACCTTAAGCTTAATAATATGTCTATTCTTTCAGATGGTTGGTGGAAGTATGCAAGAAAGATACATTATACGGCAGATATTTGCATGGCATTTTGTTGGGCCGTATCGTGTTATCAAACTCCTGGTATATTGCCGTATTTCTATCCGGTATTTTTCACCAGTATGATACTTCATCGTTATCAACGGGATATGGAACGATGTCAACAAAAATATGGTAATGATTGGAAGATATATTGTAAGAAGGTTCCATACGCATTTATACCAGGTTTAATCTAATGTTATGTCAAATACAATTGATCTGTGATAACGAAAACTGATCTGTGATAACTAAAATTGATCTGTGATAACGAAAACTGATCTGTGATAACTAAAATTGATCTGTGATAACGAAAACTGATCTGTGATATCCAAAATATTGACGAATAGGTTTATTAAATAGTTTTCTATTTTTTCTTGTTCGATATTTTTTTATACTTGATTTTTTCAAGCTCGTTTCTTGCCTTCCACACTTTTACAACGACAAATCTCACTTGTGATTGTATATTTTTAAGTAATACTAACTTTTTTTTGGATAACTTTTTCATATTTCATAGATAAAATTTAGTTACTTTTGAAAAATCTAGTGTAGGTTGAACTGATTTTAGTTCACCTTAGAATTTAAAAAAGGTATTGTCTTTTCAAAGAGGTCGTTATAAATTTCAGCTAATCATTTGCATCTATTATCGTTAATCATTGTAACAATTATTATTTATTCCAAACTGGTCAATCATCATTCAAAAGTCAGATTTCTTGAGGCAAATGCGACAAAACATGTTGAAAGAGCGATTATTAATCACACTAATACAGCAGACACTGTTAAACAAAAGATAACAGCAGATAGTTTCCCTCAACTGAAGAAACTTAAAGTACAGTGAATGAACGTTCTCTACATCAACGTATTCATGAGATTCAGAAACAACATTGCACTAATCAGAGAACTATGATTCACTGTAGCACTCCGTTATCAGCTATTATAATACTTCTGTTGTGTTTTATCGTACAATCGAACTATCTACGTCAAATTGATCTAAATTCCTGAATTATGTAGAGCGGTCAATACAGCTGCATGACTTGTATTCATTAAATAATTTATTTCAAACGTATTATTTTTCGAAGAAAACATTAAACGCAATTGGTAAACATAGTTTTCCTAAAAACGATGCCTAACAAATTTCTTTGGAAGTAAGTCGTGCAGTTATATTTGAGTACATAATATCTGTATGTGTTCGCATTATAACCTGTAAAACATTGAGATTAAACCGAGTGCGCTTCTGATACCAGTCAATTTCTAGGCGTATTTGATTTTAATATAAGTTTTTTTGTACTACTGAGTATTTTCAGTGAACAACTGATAATCATTGCTGAACATCTAGTCTTGCAGAATTATGGACGGGTGGGCACAAGAATTTTTGTGCATATTGTATTACTAAAAAAAAGCACAAAACTGCGTGAGACAAATGCCAGATTTAGAATAAATCTGCTCATTTACTTCATTAAGTAGTTCGGTTGAACAAGTGAGTCTCAGCCAAATGATTTCTACCACCAGTTGTCTATGTACAATTTCTGTTTTAATTTTAAATTCATGATTTTTTATTATTTAATACAATTATCAAAAAAAATTATGCTAGAATAATTGTTTTTTCAGAATAGTACGAACTTATAGAAAACAATTACAGTAGAAATCCAATTAGAAAAGAGTAAAAAAGAATAGTTGTAAAAGTAAAAAATATAGTCAACGATTCAATGAAGCAAATTATAGCATGCCAAGAAAAATTGAGAATTTATTTAAATAATTGAATCAGAAAACTGAAAATATCTTAGGTACATAGAGAAACAAACACAAACGCTGAATTATATTTTTTGTAAAAGTACTAGAGTTGAAAAATAGAGCGAACAATAAAAGTGGGATCAATATAATGACAGTATGATTTTTGAGTTTAATTTACCAGGATAAATCAGAAATAATTTTTGGATATTTCCTGCAAAGAGATAGAAATATATGAACAAAAAAAGTGTAGCTTGGACTTTGAACTAGAAATATTTTTGAATAGATTGATACTCCAACAAACTTGCATTCACTTCTCTTCCTAACAACTTACTTGTCCATCGTAATCATCCTCTGTATATGATAGATTCTCCACGCCAACAAAAGGAAATGCCGTTCCTGGTAATTGTATGGTTTCACCTCTACTTGCACGCTAAATAAAGTAAAAAGAGAATAATAGTGATGTTTAACAATGTTTTACATCGATACTAACTGTTTTTAGTGCATGTAAAACAGCATCATTTATTGTAACATGTATCGTATCTTTTCCAGCTATATCCATATAATTCATCCGTTGTAATTGACGATAAACCATAGCTGAAAAGAGAATAAACAAAAATGACTTGTGATTAGTAACAAAATCTGTAAACATACGCTGGGAAAAGCTCGAAGGTAAAGCAGTAAAGGAAAATAAACAGAATAATGATTTTGAAACTGCTACGTAGTATAGTATATCATTTAAAATTCTTTCAAAATCTAATTTATTTTGTTTGCAAGTTTTCAATGTGTTTCACATATTATTATTAGAAAAATGACACAAAAGGACGGAAACGTTTTGAACTATACACATCACGTGTATAGTTATAGAGAAGATGGCATAAAATGATATGCAAATGATCAACTTACGTCTAACTTGGCATAATAGCACCGTTACATTGACTTCTTTTAAATCTTTGTAAATCTTGAAAAAAACAGATGAATTCTGTATGGTTAGTTGCATACATCTATTTTTCTTACTTGAATAAGAGTTTTGATTCCCATCATGTCAATGTAATTCACCGGCGAACAATCGATAATAACGAATTCAAACACTGGTTGGTATTTCCGTTTAATTTCTGCAATCTAAACAGAATGACAATTTATAATGGTGTTAAATAGCTGTGCTAATTACTGACTTTTTTTTCTTTCTCCTTTTCTCTCTCGTCCAAATTTAATTCCATTTCATCGACTAATTGAAACTCATTTACTTGTATAATTTTATGTTGTACAATCTTTCCTGATTCATTAACAGTAGTCACTTGATCCAAATTCACATCATCCATGACCGATCCTCCGTTCGATAGAATATTTTCATTATTACTCAATGTGTTACCATTTCGAAATTGTTTTTGAAAACGTTGTTTTATATGTTGTTGTTGTTTCTTGGATTTACTACTATTATGAATGGCGGCTTTAAATTCACGTTCAACGCCTGTCACCTCTTCGTTCATCAAACGTAATTGATCTTCTACTCGAAAACCAATGTTTTTTATAAATAACTTTTTAAATGCATCAATATTAGCATAATAAATATTTTCTTCAAAACGAAAAATTTTCACATTCGGAATGTCTACAGCGCTTGGATATGCACCTTTGTCTTCATATAAACCAGATGTTAGATAACCCAGTGCTGTTGCATGTGGTCTAGAACACAGCAAAAATAAAAATAAGCCCTAGTAAATATACTTGATCCGGGTACGTGAGTACTTTCCGAGTACTTGGGAAGTACCTGACAAATTTCCTCGCTTAGTAAGTACTTGAACAAGAACTTGGCAAGTGTTGTTACTTCCCAAGTTCTTGTCTAAATTAGTGGCGTAGCCACCGGGTGGGTTCAGCCTCCCCACTAAAAGTTTTATAACTCACGCTACTGTGCGGCAATATCTTATAAATTCTGACTTTTTTACTGACAGAAAAACCTCTATAACTTTCTTTTAGTTAGTGCTACACACTCGCGATTTTCAGATTTTAGTTCCGCGTTGAAAACTAATTTTAAACCAACTAATTTTCGATCCCTCAACCGTTATTTTGAATTTTAGCGAGGCTTGAAACCTCAAAATCCCTACT